ACCTGACGCGGAAAAATGCGTATAGGCGCATTTGAAGTCTTTGTCAAGCGTGCTTTTCCTTATAAAGTGAATGTATATATTAACTTGAGTGTAGCAGAATAAAGATCACCCAACAAACCCAACCAAGCCGGTTAGTTGTTATAAGTTTAAAGAGGGAATTGGCTAGACACCTGCGTTATCTCTAATACAACGATGCCTGCCATTTCTATCAATGTTGTGAAAGGCTGCGTTTTGTATGTCTTTATTAGCGTGAATGAGGATGGGATGTCAGTAAAATGTTGAGTATCTTTAGTGCCAACAATACCATAACGAATACAGGTTGTCTTTTTCAGATGGCCCGGCTGAATTTCTCTTGAACCAATGACGCTATAAAAAAATTATAAACAAATGTGTTTAATATTTTTTAGATGTGTTTCACATTTTACCTTTTCTTCGAGAAAAATTATACTGGGTACCTCAGGCCCAATTCAACTTCAAAATTTTAAATACGTCCCTATACAACCTGATACATGATTTTAAAAGATTTTTTAGGCCGAACACAATGGTTTAAATGGATTTTAAATTTGTCAAAAAATGACAAAGTTATGACACAAAGAAATCGGCAGAGTAATTTCGACGAGGAGCTGAATATTTCTGTATGTTCCCGAAAATCCGAATTCCTCTCTCCTAAATGTTGGAAGGGTTTTAGGTTTTTCAAAAAATAAAATTAGAGTTGTACTCTGGATTTGCAATTTTAATCCGTATCGCTCTCATCTTGTCCAGGAACTTCGGCACTTTGATTATGACAGGCGTCTAACGTTTGTTGCACAAATGTCGATTTGGGAGGCTGAAGGAAACGTGCTTCCATACTTCTTCCAGATGATCCAACCTCTAATGGCATACTAAACCATTGGAATTTTCGAACTTGGGCAGAGGAAAATCCGAGAATTTTGTTCATTTGTCATCATCAGGCGGTTCACAGTATCAACGTTTGGTGCGGACTTGTTGAAAATAATTTAATTGGGCCTCACTTCTGCGAAAATAATTTAAATAGCGCTCAGTTCTTCATTTTTTTAAAATCACTATTAGATAGTGTTTCTCTGCAACTAAGTCACAGAATGATTCTCTAGTTAGATGGATGTCGTGCATACAATTCTTTGCAGGTGGACGTCCCTTCCGGGATAGGTGAATAGGAACTTATGCCGATCTGTTGGCCTTCTCACCCGATTTAACTCTACTTGACTATTTTCCGTGCAGCCATTTAAAAAACAATTTCTACGCCAATCATAACCGATCAACCTCCGTTGAAGAACTGCGACAAAGGATAGAAAATGCTTGTCCATCCATGTCCTCTGACTCTATCGCTCTGAGCACCTGTGAAAAGTGGTTAAAAAGAAAAAAATCTTTGCATCTTTACAGAAGGCAGGCAGTTCGAACATGAATTGTGATTAATAAATAGCAAACCAAAGACTGTTCTTCCAAACTTTTTGCCAGAACTTTGTCATTTTTTAACTAATTTAAAATGCGATTGTTCGATAGTTTTCAGCTTAAAAACCCCTTTAAAATGATATGTCAGGATGTATAGGGTTGGCTTTGAAATTTTGATATTGAACTGGGCCTGAGCTAACCTGTATAATTTTTTTAGAAAAAAACGGTAAACATCTGAAACTAAACTAAAAAATATTAAACACTTTATTTTACAGCATCAACAAAAATTCAGCCGGGTCATCTAAAAGACACCCTGTATATTCGTATAAATGTGTATATTTTAAATGAGATTTTTAAACCTTATTAGCTCGTGTGGAGGTGTTGAATATTACGAGAGATAACAATGGTTCACAATTTCCTTGGGAAATAAAAGATCGCAAAGCCCTTCTACGGGAGCAACAAATGAACAGTGCGGAAACGCGAGGTGGCAAAATGGATGGTAGTCAGTCGGCTGGGGGAAAAAATATATATCATATTTATGATTAAGTAGGTTAGGTTTAAAGTATTTTCAAATGATAAAGTTGAGGATTGTCAATCGATCTTTAAACTGTCGTCAAAATTTGACACGTAGAGAAAAATAAGATTGGTGGCAGAATTACTCCTTGGAGGACTTTTCTTAAACAAAAAGTCATCGAGGCTACGAAAATTAGATACAATTTTATATTATGGAAGGCTTTAATATTTTTGAACATTTGCTTATTTCGTTAAATGAGTATGCATTAAAGAAAACAAATCGCCCGGGTGTAAAATCTAGAGATTCAGATCCATTTTGCCAGATTTTCCAGATGATATTTCCCTTGTTTAATGGCACTTTCGATAAATAACGAGATTTGTTTTTCAACTTAACCGTGCGAGAATGTGGCACGAGAATGTTTTCTTTGTTACGATTTTCCGCTAATTTTCCCCCACGTCTATTTGTAACATTTTCACAACTCTCGCCCGGTCTGGTTAAAGAAATTAAGAAAGTTTAATTGCCAAGTTAACATCTTAGAAAGTGTCTATTTTCAAAGGATCGATCTTTCAATTGGGGCAAGGCATACTGAAAACTTCCAAAATGAAGCGCTAAATCCCGCAAGGCTACAACGGCCGTGTGGTTTCCGTGAACCAATTAACAAGGTGCGTAACTAATTAACTAACACTTTGAACTATGTGTTTATTGTTTAATACACATAGCTTCGGGTATGGAAATTAATTAAACATTAAAGGGTGAGTACAATTTAAAACAATCGTTTAATTCTTACATTAAACAAATTATGTATTTTCCTATTTTTTTTTCTACAGATAATTGCTCATAAAACTTCTATTTCATAAATATTTCCATATTTATATAGCATCCATATTTATATACCAACAAATCCATAACGATCCCTTCAGTCATTCATCGGTATAATCAAAAATTCGTGAACATGTTAATTTTTGCACTTATTACGAAAACTTTAAATTCAGCTGTGGAGTCAGGGCATGGTATAGCAGTCGATAGCAAATTTTATAAGCTTTCAATTGGCCATGTTCCACTTTATCCGATTTCTCAACCGTTTTCGAGTATACTCGATTTTGTGGCAAAAAAACGTGATTTTTACTTGCTCGTGGAAAAACCGACTACGCTCCAGATTTTCAAGTGTGCATAATTTTTAACCGTCATATTTTCGCAAATTTTACGCTCTGCAATATTTGCTCCGAGGACTTTTTCAAAAAGTGAACACAGAAAACAAATTTAAAGAAAACAGGTCTTGACAGATTACACGTTTACTATGACCTTTTTGGATGCGGAATGCTTCTGTTTACTTCATCACCACTTGTTTACTTCATCACGGAAATTCAATTTTTCCTTTCCATTTTACAGGTGTTGTGGCAGTTCGGTTTTGAATAACCCGTTGAAACAATAGGTTTATGTATGACAAAATCGGGAGATAAATTGATCGGTTTTTTCCATGAGCACGTAAAAAATAACCTACATTGCCCAAAAATTGCGAATAACTCGAAAAGTATTGGAAAATCGCAAAGTGGAAAGTGTCTAATGGAAAGCTTATTAAAATTCCCTATCAATTGCTAAAGAACGGCACTCCAGGACGATTTCCTGGGTCCACAGCTTATTTTGAAATTATCGTAAAAAGTGCAAAAATTAATATTTTCCCGAATTTACTGATGAATGACTGAAGCTAGAAAAACATTTAATAAACTATGTTGTTCAGAGAAACATTTTCTGAAAAATGAGTCGTACGCAGTAAGAATAACGCAGTAAGTAAAAGTCTGAGCAAATATGCATTTCGAAAGTTGGCCATTTTTTCGTGCAAAAACCAGGTGGTCGGTTTTTTATGGGCGGTGTATAACCCCTATTAAAAATTTAAATAAATAAATGTTAACTAAATGTGGTTTATTTTTGAGTCGCAATTTCAAAAGCTTTCAAAAGCTTGAATCCTTGCACGGACAGCCTAGTCTTATCGACTATTTTACATATTAGAGAATTTTACATAGTTTCGAAGAAGAGTATCTTAATTATTTTTGAACTAAACATCAATTGTGGATAATGTTTTTTATCCATGAAACCTAAAAATTTCTCAGATGTCACAACAAAATTATATCGTTGAAATGCAATAAAGAACATAAAAATTACAATTAATTAAGGATTTTAGTTGAGATAAAAACGCCAGTGTCACGAGCGGGATTCGAACCCACGATCTTCGGCTAGATACGCCGCTGCTCTACCACTTGAGCAATCGTCACTTCGATCCACTCGGGCATTAACTTCTCATCTCAACTCTACCTTTTGAATTTTACCTCATTTTTTGCCATTTTTCAAAAATGCTCGAAGCACAGTTCTTTAATCTCTAATATATAACAATTTAATGCTGATTTTTTAAATTTCTACTGAAAAACACCAGGACTCGGTAAAAAGCATAACCTTATATTTTATTCCACAGGTTATAAATTTTAATTTTCTATTCATGTTTTGTATTAAAAAATATATTGCAGTACAATTGAGCATAACAATTAGGAAAAGTTGAATATTAAATATATAATTAATTGAATTTTACGCAATGGCACAATGATTAATTTTACAAAAAAAAAAAAAAATGAAAAACAGGCATAAATGAAATTAAATCACCCTATCTTGTTCAGTGTAACATTTTCTGAAAAATGAGTTGTAACTTAAAAGGCTGAGAAAATATGCATTTCGTAAGTTGGCCGTTTTTTCGTGCAAGAATATTAACGAATGCAGAATGTGGTTTATTTTTGTTTCATTTTGTCAAAAGCTTGAATCCTTGCACGGTCAGCCTGGGCACCGGTGAAATTTACGTGATTGAGCAAGTTGTGCGATGGACGGGAGCTTTTGGGCCGGATGGATTGTGGAGAGGGATAGGAAAGTGCCGTCACCGCAGGCTAATCTCAACCGTTGATTTCATAGCTCGGGTAAGTGTTCAACTCGGAGTTGAACACCTCAGGCTTATCCCCGTCTAATACTCGTAAATTTCGCTTTGGCGAAACTGATTCGAAACCGGAGTTTACTGCTTATTAAACCTAGAAGTATTTACCTTATGGTATTGATTGGGATCACCGGGCATTCCGTACTCGATCCTCGTCTGATCGGAACCACCGGAAACCGTTTTCGCACCGCCGTCGCCTCTAGATTTTTTCCAGTCTTCGAGGTCGACCGCTTCATCACTGGAAAAAAAATAAAAAAACATTAAAATCATTATAAATCTGTCAATAAAACATCTTATTTTTTACATTGGCACGGTCTGATCTAAAAAATACATATTCTTTAAAAAAACCACTTATTTTTTTTCAACTTTGTTCAACGATTTGTTCTTTCATAAACCACTTTTTACTGAAACTTTTGTCGTTCTTTCACATGGCAAGATAGAATAAAATATAGGCCTTTAGATGGTTTTATTTGCAGAAAGAGAAAAATGCTTGTCGAGCTCGAAGGATGGCGTGGCATATGGTGAAGATGCTCTTAGTGGCTGCTGTGCCAGAAGTGGTCTGCCAAGTTTGGAGAAGGAGATTTTTCTCACAAAGACAAATCACATGCTCAACGGGGGAGCATTAGTGGTCTTAGCGAATAGAGCACTATACGGGCCCAAAATGAACCTTTCTGTCCATAATCATGATTTTTCAAAAACGGAATACGAAGAGAAAATTGGGAGAAGTACACTATCTAGAATATTGAAATTTCCTACCTATAAAAGCAGTTCGTTCAACAGTTTTAGTATAATAATATCCACTGTTTTATCGAGAATTAAGTCATGAACCTTTGTTCACAATGATTCGTCATATTTACAGTCTATTCTTTTAAATGACCCTTATTTTGAAGTGGCTGCGGATTCTCTGGCAAAGTCCTGTTTATCACGTTCAACAAGTCTGAAAATACAACTTTCCGGCTGTATTAAAAAATAGACTAAGGCCCATTTCTTACAAGATGTCGGGTAAAGAAAAGCGGATTATGTACGTTTGACAGTCATCATGGGAAGAGACAAATGAAGCTCCATTAACCATTTCTAAGGGCGAAAATAAAAAAAAAGAAATGATGGGAATGAAGAGAGGCCCTTTATTATGAACCGCCTGATGAGAAGGAATTACAATTTTATTTAAAAATCCCTTGCAAACATGCAAACTAAACAGATATTTTTCAAGGGATGAAAAGTTCACCCCTATATATTCACTGGGAAGACACTACGTATTGTTCCAGCTAATGCAATAATATTTATTTAACAAAAACAAAACAATGAAAGAATTATAATTACTTTTGTATTGAAGGAAGAAAGCATTTTATGGTGATGGAATATTAAAATTTTAAACTTTCCTGAATGATGTAACGAAGTAATACATTAAACCAGGCACCGAATATGATTTAATTATTTTATAAATATCTGATCTAACGCTAATAACAACTTTCTTCAATACAATACTTTTTACCCGATTCAACTATCTGAAAAATGTGTGGTGATTAGTGACCGTTAGTCGATGATTATTCAGAAATCGTGAGATGCGGTCTGGTGTGATGTAGGTTTCAAAAAAACATTTTCTTTATCGTGCCAACGTTTCGATCTTTATTGTGATCATCTTCAGGCCTCAAAGTGTTTGTTTTCTGTGTAATTGTGCCATTCTTGCGTGTCGTGTTGAGAGTGCCAATTACACAGAAAACAAACACTTTGAGCCTTGAAGATGATCTCAATAAAGATCGAAACGTTGGCACGATAAAGAAAATGTTTTTCTGAAACCTACATCACACCAGATCGCTTCTTGCGATTTCTGAACAATTATCTGAAAAATGCGCTATATTTTGCCGAAGGATAGACATGAAATTTAGTCTTTTCTGGTTCGAAATGATTACTATCAATTCTATAAAAAGAAAAGCTTCACGTGGATAAAGGAGGTCAATAAAAGTCACCGGTTTCTACGACAAACTGAATAGGCCATGAAACGGTTTGCTAAGCCGGGTAAAATCGAGGCTCGTGTCATGTTATTGGACTATTTATAAGTAAGAAAGATTCTATACACAAAATAAAAAATTAAATTGTATTTGCTGATAAAAAAGAGGAAGTTTCCATATCGAAGACTACATTGATATAATTTTTATTTTAATTTTATGCATAATAAAAAAATATGTATGTATAAAAGAATAAAATAAAATGTATGTATGTTCATAGGGAATAAATCTACAGATATAGTGACTTCCATTATTTCAGATATGAAAAGAGAAGTACAAAAATGTTAAGCAATGTTGATTATAATAAAAATAATATATAATGTTAATAATAACTTACAATTAATTAAGGTTTTTAGTTGAGATAAAAAAGTCAATGGCACGAGCTGGATTCGAACCCACGATCTTCGGCTACATACGCTGCTGCTCTCCTACTTGAGATGTCGTGACCTCGATCCACTCGGACACAAACTTCCCATCTCAACCGCACCTTTTTTGAATTTTCCCTCCTTTTTGCCATTTTTCAAATGTCTTGTAATCGGATTGGATTCTCGGCGACAAATGAAATGGCCGCTCGTGCCATTGACTTTTTTATCTCAACTAAAAACCTTAATTAATTGCAATATATTAATTGGTCAAGCGGACCACGAAATTAGTGAAGTTAATAATAACAATATTATTAGAATATTAATAGAATATAAAAACAGAATAACCTCGACAATAGGAAAAGATAATTGAAAAATGAGAAAATAACGTAATTTACCCTTCGTACGGTTGATTGAAAAGGAATATAAAAGTAAATAAACATAAAAAAAATGAACACAATATTACTCTCTGCCTTCCATGGTATGGAAATTAAGTTACTTTTTATTACAATAAATTGTCTTAGTTTTAGTGTTCAAATGACTAACGTATACAAATTATTAGCTTCTTCCAATGTTTGAGGGCATAATAAGTCATAGAAGCATTGTTCGGGTGATAGACACGAAACATTTTTTTCATAAACAGGGCAAATTAAAAGGAAATGCTATTATGATTCTAACTCCTTCCAATTACAAATTAAGCATGAGGCATGAGGATCTATGTTGTATTTTTTATACTTTATATATGGTCGTATTATTTACGTTGCATGTTCTAATCGGGATAATAAATCTCAACGTATCAATGCTCGTTCGTATACAGGGTGTCCTGTTTATATGCCCCGAATTTCTCTTGAACTAATGACGCCATCAACGAATACGTGTTTAATATTTTTAACCAAATTTTTAACCTATGTGTAAAAAAGTTAAGCGGGGGGCCCTGTTCAAAATTTCAAATACGACCCTCATCCTATCATATCATTTTAATGGAGTTTTTACCCTCAAAACAATGGTGCAATCGGATTTTAAATTGGTCAAAAATGATGAAGTTATGGCAAAAAATTTGAAATGAAGCAGTTAGAGTTAAATCGGGTGACCGAGAAGGCGGACAGATCGGGCCATGAGACATCTACATATCCCGGAAAGGAGGATTCAAATAACGTCTCACCTGGAAAGAATGGAGGCATCGATCAAGCTTGAGAATCCTTCTCAGTCGTTGTTCATCTAATAGTCTAATCATCTAATAGTGTTAGTGAAACCTCCCTCGAAAAATTAAGGGACTGAGCACCATTTAAATTATTTTCGTAGAAATAAGGCCCAATTAATTTATTTCCGTGCAGTCCGTTGTTAATCGCAATAATTTATTTCTTTACTTAATTGCCTTTGTAGTCCTTGGACAAGATGAGAACGATACGTCTTAAAATTGTAAGTCCGGAGAACCTCTGATTTTGCTTTTTCAAAAAAACCTAAAACCCTTCCGACATTTCGGAGAGAGGAATTCGGATTTTTGTGTACGTACAGTAAAACCTTTCAATTAATTAATCGTTATGTAAAGAATTGGTTGTGATAAAAAAGTCAGCGGCACGAGCGGGATTCGACCCGAATGGCAAAAAGGAGGGAAAATTGGAAAGGTAGGGTTGAGGTGGGAAGTTGGTGTCCGAGTGAATCAAAGTCACGATAGCTCAAGTGGTAGAGCAGCCGACGGTCGTGGGTTCGAATCCCGTACTTGACGCTGACTTTTTTTATCTCAACCAATGCCTTACATAAAGATTAATTAATTGAAAGATGCCCTTCGGTCAATCGGACCACGAAATCTAATGAATGCAGTAAAATATTCAGCTCCTCGACGAAATTACGCCGCCGGTTTCTTGATGATGGAACAGCATGATAACAACAATATCTGTATATTGCGTGCATCACGAATAAATAATTTAAATACAACTTAAATAGTAGTAGAGGATGAATTGGTGTCTCGTGGACCAAAGTGACGATAGTAGTTGAACACCGGGGATTGAAACAGGGATCGTGGGTTCGAGCCTCCCTCGTAATACTATTTTTTCCAACCTTATTTGCATGAAAATAGAAAAAACTAACCAAACAATTAAACTCAGAATAACTATATTACAGTTGGTCTCTTCGCTCTTCCTTTGCTTTCCCACTTCTTTTCCTTCAACCTTGTTTTTTATTTTCTCTTCTTTACTCTCGTATTACGTTGTTATATTACCATGAAATAATAATTATGTTTATTTTAAACATACATCGTATTACCTTCAGATACCTTACCTATTTTGGTACAGCAAGTTGGGCAATTTTGTAATAACCAAGTACGCAACCAACATAAAGTCAAGCTTTCCACCTCGCTCTCATTCTTCTTCTCGCAATCTCTCTCTCTCTCTCTCTCACTCTCTATCGCTATCTCAGTCTGCCTAGCTGTCTGTCTGTCTTACCTGTCTATCTGTCTGTCTGTCTGCCTGTCTGCCTGTCTGTCTGTCTGTCTGTCTCTCTCTCTCTCTCCCTCTCTCTCTCTCCATCACTCTTCTCTCTCTGTGAGAGCGATACTGCTTAAATTTATAAGTCTGAAGTACACTTCTGATTTTATTTTTTGAAAAACTTAAAATCCTTCCAACATTTAGGAGAGAAACGCGAACATGCAGGAAAATATTCAGCTCCTCGTCGAAGTAACGACGCAGGTTTCTAGGTGATAGAACAGCAACTGATCCGTATCTGCACATTGCGAGCAACACGAATAAACATTTTGTGAATTAGAACTCTGGGACGATCAGAAAATTTTTGGGAGTAAAGCTAGACTGCACGACGCGCATACGACCACTATTAATAAAGCAGTCCTGCATGTCAAATCGGATCGAAAAAATATG